GGCAAGGCCAAATCTAATGGTGTCCCTGACCCAAGAGTCGGAAGTGGAAGAATCCCATATGTTGGCAAACGACTTTAGATGCCCGCCAATGGGGATAGAGTTGTCATGTCTACCTGGAATGTCGGAAAGGTCTGCTTCCGGACCCCGGAAAGGCCTTTTATATTGGCCGCCCCTCCTACTCCTGTCTCCCGAGTCGGGTCGATCCTGGAATTGGCCCGGTCTGAAAGAGGGGGGCCTCTGATATTTGGGAGAGAAAGGGGCCTGGTAGGAGGGCCGAAAGGAACCCCTCCGAAAGGGCTGCAGCTGTCTGGAGTCTGACCTTCGGGTGAGGGAAGGGAGGAATTTCTTTTTGTTCCTTGTCTCCATAAGTAAGGGGTCCAGGGAGTGGCCGAATAGCTTGCCCCCCACTAAGGGAGAGGAGGCCAGCTTGGCTTTGTTTTTAAAATCCGCCTGCCAGTATCTGAGCCATAGTAGCCGGCGGGCCTGGGCGTGCGATGTAATTGCCCTGGCAGAGAATTTGACGGAGTGAAAAGTAGCGTCTGCAGAAAACTCCGCTGCGGCGGTGATCTTAGCAATGTCCTGGTGTGCCCTGGTGTTGGAGGCGGGGACATGCTGTCTAAGCTGGCACAACCATCTAATAGAGGACCTAGTGAAGAAAGATGCGGCCGTAGCCGATCTTATGGCCCATGCGTCCGACTGATGGGCCGTGCGCAGGGCCAGCTCGGCTCGCTTTTCCTCCGGTTTTAGGGCTTCTAAGGCCTCAGTAGGAGTCGAGGAGGATGCCAGGCCCACAATGGGCTCGTCGACCTCCGGGGTGTTCAACAGATTAGAGAAATCCGGATCTAGATTGAAATTTTTTTTGTCGTGATTGGAGGGGGCTGGGGGGACCCCTATAGACGCCAGTTGTTTTTGGACCAGATCTGCAAGGACAGGGGGAGCTGGAATAGTCTCGGACTCTACCACTGGTTGGTTAAAAATGAGGTCTTCAGGTCCCTCCCCAGAGTGGGTGGGGTGGGCTGAGGAGGGTTGCTTACTCAAACCTGAGATATTTTTGGCCTTATACAATAAGGATTTGAATAGTTGCGGCTTAAAGAGGCCCGTGAAAACGGGCTGGTCAGGGATGAGCCCCTCATCCTCGGACATTTCGTCCTCTAGGGGATCCATATCTGATAGGGGTTCACTATAGTGTATGGACCCCAGATCGAAGTTGTGAGGGTCCATGAGCTGATCACCTTCCTCCCCCTCTTCCATCTCCTCCTCCTGCCCTTGGAGGGGGGGTTCCCTATGTAAGGGCACCTGAGCCAAAGGTTGTTCAGACCTGGGTAGGGATCTCACAGAGTGAGATTCCTGTTCGGAGCCTACCGGGTACAGACTGGGCCTGGTGGCTTGCTGGATGCCAGAAGCGATTCCTTGGCGAATAGCCAACTCCATCCAGGATCTTATCTTCTCAGGGATCTCCTCAGGTAGAGACTCCTCTTGGTGGAGACTGGCAGCAGTTGGGGTGAAGGTGGCCTCTAGAGCCCCTCTGGCCAATGTTTCAGGAGTCAGAGCCTGTTGTTCCTGAGGTGGCAAGCTGTGCCTGGAGGAGAAGGAAACATCTGGGGGGGGAGGTTGAGCAGAGGTAGAGGGACTGGAGGATGGAGGAACCTGAGGCACCTTGGGTGCTTTCTTAGATCTCCTTTCTATTTCCTTTTGCAGGGCCTTGTGGCGCCTTAGGGCATCCCTCTCGGCCGCTTTGGAGGTCTCCTTAGCCTGCTTGCGCAGGTGGTGTGTTTTGGCTTTTGCCTTCAAAGAAGGTCCTCTCGAGGTATTGCCATCTGCCATTGCAATGGCCTAAATATGGCTGGAGTAAGATAAAGAAATGAAATGAGGCGGTTGGCACGCCCAGGGCCCGATCTGGCAAGACGGTGTCCCTGATCAGTATTACCTCCCCCTTTTAGAAAGATTTGTCTTTCTGTTCTCTCCTTCCTTTTTATCTATCTATCTATCGATCGATCGATCGATCGATCGATATGTAAGGTAGCCAAGGAGGAGAGAATTGAGCCATACCTCAGTGATAATATTTTTAAGTTTGAAATATTATACTGTCAAATATGAATAAATGCTATAATCAAGTTTGAGTTATGTTTCTATCCCTGCTCCTGGGATAACAGAAGAAAGCCAATAAGTCGGATATCAAAACGCCTAGGCCCAGTTGAGTTAAGGATAGGGCCTGTAGCAGCCTCTGCACAGGCTGACACGAGGCCTGGGTGCAGCTGCTGTGCTGCTGGAGAAGCTGCGAGGCTGGCCAACAAGACTCCAGTTAAATACAGCCAAGGTAATCTGGAATAAAAGCTGCAGAAACAAAGCCAGGCGGGGGCCTGGTGTTTTGAGAATTTTCCACTCACAGCTTCAGAAATGGGAAAAACAAAATGGCGTGCGCCACGAGACAGCCTCCAAAATGGCGGCCGCAATGACGATGTGCCTTCCAACAGCGTTTTCCCCACCTGGCAAGCTAAGCTCGGCTTAGAGAGGGGCCAGAAGGAGAGAATGATCTTTCTCCTTAAAGTAACAGCAAAAGTAAACTAAAGGAAAAACGGCGTTCGAGAGTGGGGGGAAAATGAGGAACGGCTCAAATGGAGCAAATACAAAGCACACTGAAACGGAGCAATTGGCACAGTGACAACAAATTAAGGCAGAGAGAGAGAGAAGGGGTTTTTGGCTATGGGAGGTAGTGCGATGATCGCTACTGGCCCTCCCTTTGCCTCCCTTGGGGGCGAAATGCGCTTCCCCTTAATGGCAAGAGAGCCAATTGCAACAATTGTGCAGGCTAAGGAGAATAAAATCAAACCTGAATAAAACTGAAGTAATGCTGATTGAGAGTTAAGAGAATCCAATATTTCCTACTTCGGCCAAGGAGCAAAGAGGAGAACAGCCTGTCTCGCGCGAGGCTGAGCAAAAACTGGGGAAAGCCCTGCAAGAGTCACATGATGAAGGAGGAGCGTTCCTAGATTCGAGCTCAGCCTAAGCAAGCAGAGACTGAAGCACCTCCCATCGCTGGATGCTCCAAGCAGCTCATAGGAGAATGGGTCAATCACCAGGAGACTGGGAGTTCTAGTCCCACCTTAGGCACAAAAGCCATCTGGGTGACTTTCGGCCTATCACCAGGACACGCGGAGTAGTAGTTCTGTCTTAAGTATGAATGCCATCCAGGAGACTTTGGGCCAAGCACCAGGAGACTGGGAGTTCTAGTCCCACCTTAGGCACGAATGCCAGCTGGGTGACCTTGGGCCTATCACCAGGAGATGGGGAGTTGTAGTTCTGCCGTAAACATGAAAACCAGCAGGTTGACTTTGGGCCAATCACAAGGAGACTGGGAATTCTAGTTCCGCCTTCGGCACAAAAGCCAGCTGAGTTACTTTGGGCCTATCACCAGGAGACAGGGAGTTCTAGTACTGCCTTAGGTACGAAAGACAGCTGGGTGACTTTCGGCCTATCACCAGGACACACGGAGTTGTTGTTCTGCCTTAAGTACGAATGCCTTCTGGGAAACTTTGGGCCTATCACCAGGAGACGGAGTTCTAGTACTGCCTTACGCACGAAAGCCAGCTGTGTGACTTTGGACCTAACACTAGGACACGGGGAGTTGTTGTTCTGTCTTAATTACGAATGCCATCCGGGAGACTTTGGGCCAATCACGAGGAGACTGGGAGTTCTAGTCCCGCCTTAAGCACGAAAGCCAGCTGTGTGAGATTGGGCCTATTACCAGGACACTGGGAATTCTAGTACCGCCTTTGGCACGAAACCCAGCTGGATGACTTTGGGCCAATCACCAGGAAACTGGGAGTTCTAGTCCCGCCTTAGGCACTAAAGCCAGCTGGGTGATTTTGGACCTATCACCAGGAGACTGGCAGTTCTAGTTCTACCTTAGGCACAAAAGCCATCCGGGAGACTTTGGGCCAATCACGAGGAGACTGGGAGTTCTAGTCCCACCTTAGGCACGAAAGCCAGCTGGGTGACTTTGGGCCTATCACCAGGAGACAGCGACTTGTAGTTCTGCCTTAAACATGAAAGCCAGCAGGTTAACTTTGGGCCAACCACCAGGAGACTGGCACTTCTAGTTCCGTCTTAGGCACAAAAACCAGCTGGGTGACTTTAGGCCAAACACCAGGAGACGGGGAGTTGTAGTTCTGCCTTAAGCATGAAAGCCAGCAGGTTGACTTTGGGCCAATCACCAGGAGACTGGGAGTTCTAGTCCCGCCTTAGGCACAAAAGCCAGCTGGGTGACTTTAGGCCAATCACCAGCACACATGGAGGAGTTGTTCTGCCTTAAGTACGAATGCCATCCCGGAGACTTTGGGCCAGTTACAAGGATACTGGGAGTTCTGATACAGCATTAGGCACGAATGGCATCGGGGAGACTTTGGGCAATCACCAGACGACTGGGAGTTCTTGTCCCACCTTTGGTAATGAAAGCCAGCTGAGTGACTTTGGACGAATCACCAGGAGACTGGCAGTTCTAGTCCCGCCTTAGGCACGAAAGCCAGCTGGGTGACTTTGGGTCTATCACCAGGAGACTAGGACTTGTAGTTTTGCCTTAAACATGAAAGCCAGCACGTTAACTTTGGGCCAATCACCAGGAGACTGGGAGTTCTAGTCCGCCTTAAGCACGAAAGCCAGCTGGGTGACTTTGGGTCAATCACCAGGAGACTGGGAGTTCTTGTCCCACCTTAGGGATCACCATGAGACGGGGAGTTCAAGTTCTGACTTAAGCATGAAACTAGCAGGTTGATTTTGGGCCAATCACCAGGAGACTGGGAGTTCTAGTCCCACCTTAGGCACGAAAGTCGGCTGGGTGACTTTGGGCCAATCACCAGGGAGTCCATGAGTTTTAGTCCCACCTTATCCATGATACATGGGTTGGATTTGTCCGCCGCCTTGAATTTATTTGTGAAATAACGAAGACAGGAGAGAAAGAATTGCAAGAAAAGGTCCCTGATCAGAATCTTCCCTCCCTCCAGGTTCACAGTGGACATCCGGTCGGTGCTCAGCCGCAACCTGCACCAACATCGCCTCTGGTGACAGCGGCTCCTCCTTTCTTCAGGGTTTGGACACAGCCTCTGCCTTATCCCGGGACCCGTTCCTCTCGCCAGGTGCCACGGCCGACGCCCCCCCAAAACCCACCTTCAGACTCAGCCGGCCAGGGGGATGTCGGGGGGGCGTGACTCCAATTTTGACTTCACCCTGTGTCCATCGGCTGCCCTGTCGTGCCCCCAATATCTGGCGACTGGCAGTGACACAGCCGTGCAGAGGGGCACCATGCCGGGATGCACCAAGAAAGTGGTTGAAAATTGTGCCACCTGCAGCGAGTGACGCTTGGACGGACTTCATTATTTTCTCTCCCCTCCCCCAGGATGCTGTGTTGCTCAGTGGGAAGAGCCCCTCGCCTCCTTCCCCAGCTTTCCCATGGTGTTTTGTTTTTTCCCCATTCTCCTCCTCCCTTGCAATCTTGGGGAGGGGGCTGCTAGCTCCACAAAGGAGCTTTCGAATGACTTCCGGGACCCCAACTCTTTTGGTGGAAGTGGGTTGGCCCTCCTGCTCAGATCAGTGCGGCGGATGGGTCCCTACCCCTCCTGGTGCCAGGATGGCTTTGTTTTTAATTTTATTTCTCGGACTTCAGGGACGGGGCAGGGGGTCTCAGAGGAGGAGAGCCGAAACCGGCTTGGACTGAGGGGAAAAAAACGGGAGAAAAAGAAAAGCAAAAGAAACAAAAAAAGGAAAGAAAAACACAGTCTCTCTGGCCGTTCTTCTCGCCCAGAAGGGAGTTGGCGGAAGGTGGGCAGGGCAAGGCTGTCTGGTGGCTGGTTCCCTTTAGAGCTGGTCCTCGACTTAACGTCAGTTCATTTAGGGACCAAAGTTAACCACACAAAAAGATGTAAGACCATGTTTCACCCATCCCTTCTTTCTCCTCTCCCTCTCTTCTTCTCCCTCCCTCTCTCCTCCCTTTTTCTCCCTCCTTTTCCTCCCTTCCTCTAGTCCTGCCTTCCATCCATCCATCCATAATTCATCCTTTCTTTCCCCTCTCTCTTCCTCCCTCCTTCTCTCCTCCCTTCCCCCTTCCATCCATCCGTTTTTCCCCTCTCCCTCCATTCCTCCCTATTTCTCTTCCTTCCCTCCTGATGCAACCCAATTTGAGAGGTTTTGGCAAACTGGCTTGCACTTAGGATGGTTTGTCACGTCTCTGGTGGGGGATGGTCATGTGATCCCCTTTTGCGACCCAAAAGTCAAATGGATTCACTTCACACCACCATGGTACCGACTTCTATAATGTTCGTGATTCAGTTTCACAAAACTTTGGCCAGGGTGGTCGTAAACATGGGGGACAAAAACCGGACAACAGTCTCACTTAGCAACAAGAAATGTTGAGGGCTCTGTTGGGGTCGTAAGTCGAGGACCAACTGTTTCCCATCTGCAAGGTCGTCTGTCCTGTTTGTGTCTGCAAAAAAGGGAACCTTGGGTGTCAAGCTGGGGTGGCCTAGAGGTGGAGCTCTCCCCTCACAATCTGGAGGCTTGTGAGTTTGATCCTAGGCAAAGGCTAATGTTTGGAATAGAGAGACTCCTGCTCAAGCAGGGGAGGTTGGACTAGATGATGACCTCCAAGGACCCCTCCAACTCCTGTTGTTCTGAGCAGGGGGCTTGGGCTAGATGACCTCCAAATGTACCTTCCAACTCCTGTTATTCTATGTCTTGCACTCGATGCCTGTGTGTTAGTGCCCCCAAATCCTTGGATGTTGATAAACCACAACCGTTGTTGTGTAACCCCCAGATTGTGGTTTACACACATTGCAAAAAAAAAAAAAAAAGTGGGGGGGGATGTTTCAGGCAGAGGCTGCCATTATCATCCCCTGTAGCGGCCCTTGCTCTTGGCCCAGCAGCGCTGTGGGCAGCTTTCAACCCCGCTGGGGGACTACAATACCTATCCCAACCGAGTGCAGGAAGCAACGAGGGACGTTGTAGTCTGCCCTAGCCGCCCCCTAGCACCTGCTGTGGCCGAGCCCCGGTAACGTCAGTCACATGATGGGATGCTAATCTCCCCTTCCTTAACTGTGTCCTTCCGCGCCGCTTGAGCGGAATTCGCTTTTTCAAAGGGGAGTGGATTTTTTTTTTTGTGGGAGGGCCGCTTCATTCATAGCCCCGGGCCCCTTTTTCCTTGGAGCCCCCCCCCCCCCGTTTGTCGTCACATTGGAGCTCTTTTTGCCACCGCGGAGGGTCTGCGGACTATTTTGTATATCACGCGGCCACGCAGAGCCATACAACGTCCGCTGACGTCGCGGGGCCTGGGCCAAGCGAACGGGGAGAAAACACGGGTTTCCTCCCCAGGAATCCCGCCCCGTCGTCGACGACCGAAGGCCTTTCAGGATCCCTCGCGCCACCGGACCACGAAAATAGCCGGCGGCGCCCGTTGGGGGCCTGAGAACCGTTCGGTGGGCGTGGCCGCGCCTCGCCGGGACTCCTTTCTCCTTCCCCCTCGGATCGGTGCGCCGCGTCGGTCTACCGCGCATGCGCGTTGCTTGGGTGAAGGGGAAATCTCTCTGTCCGCCGCGTCGCTTCCGCCGTCCGTTGCCGCCGTCATGAAGTTCGTCTACAAGGAGGAGCACCCCTTCGAGAAGCGCCGCTCCGAGGGGGAGAAGATCCGGAAGAAGTACCCTGACAGGGTCCCGGTCAGTCTCTAGAGAGACGCCCACTCACTCCTCCGGACTTCTCTTCCTAGGGTGTCCGAACTTTCCCGGACTGGGCTTCCTTCCCCTTTCCTCACTCTCCCGCCTTTTTTCCCTCGTCAGGTCATCGTGGAAAAAGCCCCCAAGGCCCGAATAGGGGACCTGGATAAGAAGAAGTACCTGGTGCCCTCCGACCTCACAGGTGAGAGACCCGGACAGGTGAGGGGGGAGAAGAGAGGCTCGTTGACGGGAGGGGGAGTGGGCGAGCTTATTCAAGGGGGTTTGCCCCCCCCAGGCCATGGGGGACCTTCCCCCCTTTTTAACGGGTCTCTCCCCCACCCCGTTTTTTGGCGCTCCCTCCTGTGTGACTTGGCTCTCCTCTTGGTGCCCTTTCCCCCAGTGGGCCAGTTTTACTTCCTCATCCGGAAAAGAATCCACCTGCGGGCCGAGGACGCCCTTTTCTTCTTCGTCAACAACGTCATCCCCCCCACCAGTGCCACCATGGGGCAGCTCTATCAGGTGGGTCTTCCCTTCGTTCCCCAACAGCCTTTTCTCGAAAGAGAGAGACTGAGAAAGAGAGAAAGGGGAGGGGGGTAAGAGAAAGAGGAGAGAGGGAGGGAGAGAGGAGAGGTAGAGAAAGAAAGGAGAGTGAGAGAGAAGGAGAAAAAGATGAGAGAGAGAGGAGAGGTAGAGAAAAAGCAGGAGAAAGAAGGAGAAAGGAGAGGGAGAGAGGAGAAAGAGGAGAGGGAGATAAAAAGAGGCGGGGAGGGAGAGAGGAGGAAGAGGAGGAGATTGATTTAGCCTCAAATACAGTGCTCAAAAAAATAAAGTGAACACAAAAATAACACATCCTAGATCTGAATGAATGAAATATTCTTATTAAATACTTTGTTCATTACATAGTTGAATGTGCTGACAACAAAATCACACAAAAATTATCAATGGAAATCAAATTTAGCAACCCATGGAGGTCTGGATTTGGAGTTACACTCAAAATTAAAGTGGAAAAAAAACACTACAGGCTGATCCAACTTCGATGTAATGTCCTTAAAACAAGTCAAAATGAGGCTCGGTGGTGTGTGTGGCCTCCACATGCCTGTATGACCTCCCTACAACGCCTGGGCATGCTCCTGATGAGGTGGCAGATGGGGTCCTGAGGGATCTCCCACACCTGGACTAAAGCATCTGCCAACTCCCAGACAGTCTTGTGGTGCAATGTGAGACATGTCCCAGATCTGCTCAATTGGATTCAGGTCTGGGGAATGGGTGAGCCAGTCCATAGCATTGATGCTTTCATCTTGCAGGAACTGCTGACACACTCCAGCCACATGAGGTCTAGCATTGTCGTGCATTAGGAGGAACCCAGGGCCAACCGCACCAGCATATGGTCTCACAAAGGGTCTGAGGATCTCATCTCGGTACCTAATGGCAGTCAGGCTACCTCTGGCAAGCACATGGAGGGCTGTACGGCCCTCTAAAGAAATGCCACCCCACACCATTACTGACCCACTGTCAAACCGGTCATGCTGGAGGATGTTGCAGGCAGCAGAACGTTTTCCATGGCATCTCCAGACCCTGTCACGTTTGTCACATGTGCTCAGTGTGAACCTGCTTTCATCTGTGAAGAGCACAGGGCATCAGTGGCGAATTTGCCAATCTTGGTGTTCTCTGGCAAATGCCAAACATCCTGCACGGTGTTGGGCTGTAAGCACAACCCCCACCTGTGGTTGTCGGCCCCTCATACCACCCTCATGGAGTCTGTTTCTGACCGTTTGAGCAGCCACATGCACATTTGTGGCCTGCTGGAGATCATTTTGCAGGGCTCTGGCAGTGCTCCTGTCCCTCCTTGCACAAAAGCGGAGGTAGCTGTCCTGATGCTGGGTTGTTGCCCTCCCACGACCTCCTCCACATCTGATGTACTGGCCTGTCTCCTGGTAGCGCCTCCATGTTCTGGACACTACGCTGACAGACACAGCAAACCTTCTTGCCACAGTTCGCATTGATGTGCCATCCTGGATGAGCTGCACTACCTGAGCCACTTGCGTGGGTTGTAGACTCCGTCTCATGCTACCACTAGAGTGAAAGCACCGCCAGCATTCAAAAGTGACCAAACCATCAGCCAGAAAGCATAGGAACTGAAGTGGTCTGTGGTCACCACCTGCAGAATCACTCCTTTATTGGGGATGTCTTGCTAACTGCCTATGCTTTCCACCTGTTGTCTATTCCATTTGCACAACAGCATGTGAAATTGATTGTCAATCAGTGTTGCTACCTAAGTGGACAGTTTGATTTCACAGAAGTGCGATTGACTTGGAGTTACATTGTGTTAAGTGTTCCCTTTATTTTTTTGAGCAGTGTAGTTTGTCAACCTCAGTAAACAAATTGGCAAATGGTACAAAGGCAAAAAAAAAATCCTGGAGAAAATGAAAGCTTGGGAGGAGCCCCAACCTCTTAGCTGGGTTAAGTTCCCATCCTCCCTCAATCTTCCTGCTAAAAATTTATTCTGATTTATACTGTATTTGGTCGAGGGTGGTTAGGAGATATGCAAGGAGTTTGTCACCTGTTCACAAGCCAGTGTCCTGTCAAAACAGCATATAACAACAGACATATTCTTCCGACTAAAATCGGAATTCTGATTTTTTGGGGGAATCGCCCCCCAAAAGGAACGGCCTGAGGAGAGGCAGAGGCACAAGTCTTCTGACGGGGCTCCTCCCATGGAGGATTGGCGGCGGCGGCAACTTGAATTACCCCGCCCCGCCCTCTTCTCCAGCTGGGAAGGAAGCTGTAAGGCCCCCTTTCCAAAGAAAGCAAGTCTAAGGCTGGCGGTTCGCAGGGAGAAGGCGAATTGGCGCCTTTCTTGCCACTCTGAGCGGTTTAGCTAACCTCGCGCTGGCCGGTGGCTTCAGGGAATGAATGGAAGCCCCGTCCCCTGGGTAATTGCGGGAGCGCCACCGCATTCCCCTGCAATGACTGGAGAGGCCGCTCAGCGCGCCGGCGGAACATCCCCGCTCTGTTAGGTGGAGGAGATTCCCCGAGGAGACCAGAAGCACGAGGTCAAAGGATGGAGGGGGGGGAGCCCCGGGAAACACAGGCGCTGTGCTCCGTCCCTGCACCAAAAATTCCCTTGGGGATACTACTCGTCCCGGCTAATAAAGTAATAATTTTAAAAAGCGTCCTGCGTGCCCTTAGGCTCCCCACGATCTGCCTTCTGACCTCGCTACGGAGGCTGCCAAGCCGAAGGAGCAGGGGGGCGGGGACCGGCGAGGTTTACTCTGCCTGGGGTTCAGGGGG